CATGGCCCATTACCCATCTCAACATTCAAACGTCTTGTGTTGAGGGGAACCCCGGAGTTACCCGAAAACAGAGTTTCCCACGGGGAATATCGATCCGTTGAGATGGTTCCCACGGGTTGGTGTTCCCTCCAAAAAACAAAACGGGAAACATTTTCTTCCCGCAATCGATGGTAACTTATCGTAATGGGTTCATGGGTAGTCATTGTCGGGCAACACCGCTACACAATATGATTACGAAGTTTTCAATCTGATGGATTTTTTTGGCAAATCGCCACAATTATGACGTCATCCATGGATTAGAAAAATCAAAATAAACACCTGAAATATCTTGCTTATTTGGGCTTGATAAATTCAAATCCTTTGTTAAAGACGCGTCTTTCGTTCATCTTTCGCCGTCTGCCTCTCTCGCTAATCGTTTTCTCTATCGTATGCCTCTTCGTCTGTCCTTTAACGTGAAGAGACAGGGCGGGGCGGATGAAAGAGAGAAAGCGCATTCGGCTTAGTGATTATACCGAATGCCTTGTTTTAGAGGTCAATTATTGTTATTATTATTGAAATAAGTTGGCAATTTNTAGAGGTCAGAGGTCAAAGGAATAGGTCAGAGATTATTGTGATGCCCAGGGGAATGCGATTGGGATGTGATTTAATCTGAATATTATTATCGATATTGTTTATTGATGCCTATTGCTTATGTCATTATTCGTTGGGCTTATTATTTATTGTGATTGTGGGCATCGGTACAGTCACGGGTAACTTATGGCTCTATAGAGTTGGAGCATTGCGGGGAGAGTTTGTCCCGGGAAAAGAGTTGTGAGGATGTGACGTGGTTTATGTGTAATTATCTGTTATTATTATTATTATTATTATTGTTGTTGTTGTTATTATTGTTATTATTATTGAAATAAGTTGGCAATTTGAAAATTTTTAGGGTGAATCACTGTTGAATTTATCGTCGTCAGCACCGAACAGCCCGTCGAAAGCCGAGCGTGAGATGAAAATGCAGTTGATGAGGGGTATTTTGTTATTATTCGTTGTTTTGTTTGGTTGCTTGATAGTGTTTCGTTGTGATATTCATAGGTGATAAGAATGATAGTGATAAGAGTGATATTCAGTGATAACAATGGTATTGATGAAATGTAAGAATGATACTCATAGTGATAAGAATGATAAAGAATAGTGATAACAGTTTACTGATAAGCGATAAGAATGCTAGTGATAAGTGATAACAGTGCCATTGATAAGTAATAATGGTACTGACAAGCAATAAGAATGATATTGCTGATTAGAATGATAATGATAAGAGATAAGAATGCTACTGATAAATGATGCTAATAAGAGTGATGACTTAGTTAAGAGTGATAAGAACCGAGGATGATATCACTGATAAGTGATAAGGTGATAACGATGGTGATAATTGTAGCGTGTTAAATTACAGCGAAATCAGCTGGAGAGCTGAGCGATCAGCAAGACGAGCGCATTCTGTGCTATAAGAAGGGACAAGCGCCCGCGGCACCGTTCGGGCACATGAACCAACCGCGAGTGCTCTACACGAACACTCTGCCAAACCCGTCGGCGAGCTGTCGAAAGGGCATCAGACACATTCCGACACAGGCCGAGAGGATTCTCGACGCACCCAATTACATGGATGATTACTGTGAGTGATAAGAATGATAATAGTGATAAGTGATATGAATGATAATAGTGATAAGTGATAAGAATGGTAATAGTGATAAATGATATGAATGATAATAGTGGTGACAATGGTGATAAGATGATAACAATGGTGATAAAAATGATAACGATAAGTGATAATGATAGTGGTGAGAGTGATAAGAGGGATAAATGATAAGGACGATAAGAGGTATTAGTGATAAGAATGATAACAGTGAAGTTAGAGAAGAGGTGTCGTACGTTGGCGTTAGCGTTAGCGCGGTAGTGATAGAAGGCGGACGTGCGTGCGTGGCGGTAGTGGGCGGGGCTTGCGTTAATTATTATTATAGTTATTATTAATTATTGTTATTGTTATTATTATTATTACTATTATTAATTATTGTTAGATTTGAATATAATCGACTGGGGAAATAACAACGTGATCGCG